GCATGTCATAAAAATCTGCTCGGAAGGCCTTGAGAACATTCTGAAGGGTGGAGAAGCTGAGAAGAACCAATGTAACACCGATGATGTGAATGTCTTTGCTCAGATGATTGTTGATGCTGGGGGCCTACAGAAGATTAAGAACCTCCAGGCTCATGACGACAGTAGAGTATGGGAAATGGCCGTGAGGATACTTGTAACATATTTTTATTTTTTTAGTTTGGGTTTAAGAAGGTGGTCTAGTTTTTAATTCGGTTACAGAAAATTGGTTCCAAAATTATTATTTACTTTACAATACCTTAATTAAGCTAAAATTTATATTCGTACACTTTTGTCGCCTAAAATTATAAGCGTGTAATTCCAATAAGAAAATTTGTATAACAGTTTATACACTATATAGTTCATTTTTGAAACCTAATATAACGTGATGGAACTTCTATTAGATAATATCACAAAAACTAAGAAACTCCAAAATGATAAAACCGTATCTAAATGAGCTAAGTGATCAATTTATTATTTGAACAATGGACTTTACATCGAATGGACCGTGAAGTCGAATTGTCATTTTCTAATATTATTTTGATTTTTTTTTAGCTTATTCGTACTTTTTAATAAAAATTCATTGATAAAAACATAATTTTTTGTATTTTATTATATAAACATATTAAAAAATATTTAAAAATTTTTGATTTGATTATAGTACCAATACCAATTGGGACAGTTGGGCTGAGATCATGTTCAACAGTGGACAAATATCTTGTTCCAACCAGCATCAGCAACCAAGCGACATAAGATATATTTATATAAACGATAAAGCAATAAAATCTTTCATAATCCTTTGATACTTGCAAATGAATTGGAACATTCAAGAAAGCATTTGAAGTACAAACAGTAAATTTCAATTACTATAGAGTTGAATCAAAATCATTGAAACAGATTCTCAGCACTTGATCCTGGACTAGGTATCTCCGAATACTTAACTTAGAACATTCACCTAGAGAACACAAATTTCATAATATCATAAAATCTTATAACTAGCCGTTATTGTTGACTTTTATTGAATTTAAATTGAAAAATTAGCCGTTATTGTTGACTTTTATTAGACGAGTGGAGCCCAATAACGGCTATATTTTCAATTTTAATTGGATTTTAATCGGTATCAAACGGGTCCATAGTAAGTTCATTTCTAGTAGAAATGAGAATTTAAGCAACAGGAAAACCAAAGGAAGGATTATTTACTAGGCAAGAATTTGCGGAGCTTGATTCTCCTGCTGCTGCTGATAGTTCAGTGGCCTCCTGAAGAGCATGACGTGTGGCTCAGGACGGCGAACTGCATAATGGACCCACCCACGACTTTGCTGAACCCCAATTGCGCGCCATTCATTCTAAAAATGACAAAATCAAGCCACATTGAGAAGCCCGAATTCATAAAACCCCACTTCTAAGTTTTACATGAATGAAGATAATAGAGACAATTATATAAACTTGATTTAAATTTTTTATTTATCCAACCACAATCATTATGCCTGAAGGTGATAATAATTTTTAGTTTGCTGTGATCCTCTATTGAGTTTCGATGAAAATAGTAAAAACTTGATAGGATGCAGCAATTATATTTATACTTATCAAACACAGCTCACTAATGTATGCATTTAATTTCGACAAAAAATAAATCAAAGAATTACAATACCTAATTTTCTTGGCATTTTCATTTTTTAATTAACAAACACAACGAAGCAGCTTTCGCTGAAATAATAATAATAAAATAATACAAAATGTTAACCCTAATTATGAAAAACTTACGTCAGAGAGGACGATTCTTGGAAAGCAGTTTAGCCACTTCTGGTGGAAGAACAACGTGCCTGAAAATTCCAAAAATATATATATATGCAGGATTATCCTCAGGCAACAAACAACATAACAATTACAAAAAAAATAATTCAAATTAATTAGAAAATCACATGTACTCGTAGGTATCATCGAAGGAATTAAATAAAATGGAAACGTTGGGTTAATTTTAAATTTCAAATTTTGAAATTTTTCCCGTATTAGTTAATGTGCATCAACAATATGTCAATAACGGTCACGTAGAGATGGATTAGTTTGGCAAACTATTTTGAGTGCCCTTGTTTGAGACGTGATTTTGTGAAAAAATAATTTTTTTTTAATATTGAGTGATTAAAAAGTCGTAAAAAATAAAAATTCCAGTGCAAAATTATTTTAATGAGAAAATATATAATTAAAAATAAGTTATGAAAAAATGAGTAAATTTTGATAAAAATTGATAAAATATGTGATTGAGAAATTAATAAAAAAAAAATTATGAATTATTCAAACCGTATAATCAAATTTGAAGTTTGATCGATTAAAAAGTTGATAAAATTTTGCTAAACAAGGTATTATTATGTATAAGAGAAACTCAAGTCCTGAATAAAAGGTTGGGACCTTTAAAAAATAAATAATCATTTTGTTATTTTATTAATATTAACAAAAAAAAAAAAACTCTTCTTTTGCACCAAGGACTAGGGGCAGGCAGAGATTCTCGATCATTCGTTTTTAGGCCCACCAGACTAGAGGTGAGTATGGGTCTATTTTTGAGCCCAGTCCAAAATCAAACCGACTTGATTTGCTTAAAGAGGAAATTACACTCACAAAGGTTTTTAAGTTACCATTTTCAAAAATACATAATCAACTTTAATAATACATAAATCAGGTTTTAATTAATAATTTTTAAATTATTTTTTATTTAAATCAATCCTACACAAAATCAAACCCTAATTTTTTTCAAACCCTAATTTTTTCATTCCTCTCTCTCTCTCCCCCTCCCTTCCTCCCTCTTCCCATTCCAAC